TCTCCTTTGGATCAGCATCAACGGACTTAACTATGATGGTAACTATTTCGATACAGTGTTCGGTCTCGAGATCCCAAACTCTCAAGAACTTGTCCATGGATGAGCTAACAAGTTTTTTTTTTTAGAGCTAACAAGCTTCGTACAAACTTTAAACTTATATAAGGTAGAATATTATTTAGAGAAAATAATCAAAGATGTTCTGATAGAGATTCCTATTTTGTTCAAAGTTCGTGACCTTGTCTCTCCTTATCTCTTTGTCGCCAAAAAAAAGCCTCCCGACGCTCTCCTTATCTCTTTGTCGCCAAAAACAAATCTGACTTTTTCCGGTGACTGGCCGGCGCGTGAGCGTCCGTGCCATTGCCGGAGTCTCTCCTCTTATCTTTCCTTTGTTTCTCTGAGCCGCTGCTTCCCTGTTGTTTTGCTTTTGGTTATGGTCTAGGTCAACGGTCTCGTCCCTTCTTCCGCTCGCGAGTGTGAAGCACGGTGGAGCCTCAGCTGGTTCTGGAGACATGGCACAGCGGTGTGAAGCAGTCTCGTTTGGTGGGAGTCGGCATTTAGAGTTTTTGGGCGCAGATCTATTTTCAAGTTTCAGATATGTTCTCGTTTGGTTTAGTTTTTGTAGATCTGGATTGATGTGGATTTTTTCGATTGATTTTCTACGGTGGGTATGTTGTTCTCTCAAGAAGACAGGCTATGGTTCCGGGTTTCAATCGTCATTCTCCGGTGTCCATGTGTTTCCTGTGTTGGTTTAGACTGTGTATTTGGGTTGTAGTTCGCCAAGATCGGAGATTTCGGGTCTAGTTATCCTAGTGGTTCCAGAGTTTAAATATAGCTTTTGTAAGGAGTGGTTCACAAGCGCTTTGTATCTTTGGTTTGGTGTGCGGTGGAGTTTCAGTTGCAGTTTTATCCTCCTGCTTTGGTGGTTGTAGTGAGCTCTCGTTGGTTTGGTTGTTAAGGTTTGTATCAGTAATGAGTTTTGATCGACGAGGCTTGATTGTGTGAAGGTTTATGGTGGGCTTCTATCTAGGCGTAAAGTGGACGTTAGTGAGTACGTTCAGGCCGTATCCGAAAGATGGTATAGATCGTGAAGAGAGGTGGTATAGATTGTGAAGCGATCCTTCTTGTCGGGTTGTGAAGTCATGGTTCTTAGGTTGGAGTGAGGGATGGTATCGTTTGGCAGGCCATAGGCGGCAACGATAGATCCGGATTGAGAAGACGTGGTGTCTTCAGTTCTATAAGTGGGTATTATTTGGGATGTTGAGGACAACATCGATATATCCAGTTCACTACTTTTTGCTATTTAGGAGGTTTATTGCATACTGAACTATCCTATGGTTTGTGTTGATGATTTAGTTGCGGTTTTCTGTTTCCGTGTCTTGTTTATGTTGTGGTTGTAAGCTGCCCCGTTGTGGGTTTAAGTTGCCTGTCTTTGGGCTCTCGCTCTGGGGATCTTTTGTTATCCGCCAGTCTTTGTATCAAACTTTGTATGTTATCATGAAATGAATATTCAGAGGGAAAAAAAAAAAAGAGTTCTATTTTGTTTTCTACTCCCTTTCTTATACACAAGTTGTGTGTATGTCTTTTCCGAAGCATTCGTTGATTTCAGTGATGCTACCAGCAGTTCACTAATATACTAATAATTAGATAATAATCCGCGTTTTGTGCGGAGTGAGATTATTATTTTTGTTATTTTTAAGATAAAAATGATGTTATATCTGTTTAGCATGGATATTGGTTTATTTTTACGTTGTTTATTTAATGTCCTAAAATATAACTATAATTCTAAATCTATATTTATTTTGGTTTGTTTGGTTTAAATGTTTGATGTTTTTAAAATTTTGATGATAACCAAAAACTATTGTTATTTGTTTGGTTTTGTTTTGTATAAATTTTAGACATTTTTTATGCCGAACTAATAGTTTCCTATTATAATTTCTAGAGACATGTAAAATCAAATAAAATCTAAATAATATTTGAAGAAAAAAATAAAATAAAATATTAACACAAAACGTTTAACTACAATTTGAGCGATAGTGAAAGAAAACATTAAAAAAAAGTCAACTTCAATAAGAATTAAAAATCTCACTTGTGTTGAATATTTAGTAATATATATAGTCGCTCATGTCAATGTGTACATGTATGTATATGTAAAAATATATAATGTGATGATAAATATATGAATATACAGTTAATTAAGATTTAAAACATTTTTGTTCAAAATAACACATGATAGTAAATTCTTAAATAAAATTAAATAAAAATAAAAATAAAATCTAGAAACTAATAACATTTTTTCATATGAAGAAATCAAATTGTACCCGTAAAAAATAAAAATAATATATATTACAAAGTGACATCTTACTTGGTACCTGAATTCCGTTTTTTAATCGATTTTGTGATTTTAATTTCTTCTTAAAGCTTTTTTATTTCTGATTTTTTCTATCAATTTGATTTTGTTTCTAATTCTTGGTCTGATATGAAAACTTTATAAAATGTTAATATTTGACTAAACTAAATATCAGACTTTACGTGTGGTGTTTTTCACCCCAGATTATTTTATTCATAATCAATCACCGTATTTGTTGTTATTGTGTACCGAAGCCTCAAGCATGACCAACTTCGGCAAGCTATGAAACTTTCAATTTCTACAAACATTTTCATTGCAACATTTTAGTTGATGCGAAACCGAGACGTGTCAGTTAAAGTGTAAATGCATTTATTACAATGTTTTCTTTTAATATATAAGGAATAAGGACTAAAACTGTAAAATATGTAATTAGTTTTATTTTATCAACAGACATTTCGAAAAAGAAAATTTACAAAGAAAACAATAAACAGATACACACATGCTTTCTCACCAAACATGAATATTAAATCACAAGAGAAATAAATTTAGTAACCATTACAATCTGACCATCCATGCATAACTTACACAACCTTTTGCCATTTCACGAGTACATTCCATTTCGTTAAAATGTGCACGAATCATATATATCATTTCTCGATCTCAGAAGCATTGTCGTCGTTGTTCTCCGACGGATTCCCAATTCCGTGACGTTTACTAGGAAACACCGTGAAGACAACGCCGGAGATAACTCCAATCACCGGAGGCAAAACCATTAGAAAAAGCTTCCCAGTGGAACCAAAGCCAGGATAGAAACAGTTAACAGTATTAGCATCCAACAAAGAAATAACGCTGAAAACGATAAGAGAGAAGAAAGCGTGAACGAAATCTCCAACTCTAAGCCGATACGAAGACAAATTCTTTGTAGAAGAATCTGGCCAAAGACCCTTCACGGTAGCGACTCCATAGTGAACGTAACCGTCACTTGCCCGATAGCTATCAGTGAAGCACGTGAAGCAGCAAGAGAAGGCGCATATGACGATAAGAGCTCCAGTTAAGTATTTGTTGATTAGGAGGCAGTGCCCATTGTTGGTTAAGACAGGATTTAAGAACTGGAACAAGAAGACGGTTCCCGTAGGGAGAAGCCTGATGAGGTCTCCTACGCCTGAATAGGTTCGGTCTCTTAGGGCTTTGAATGTTGTCGACATTATATTCTTCTAGTACCGGTAAGTTAGGTTTCAAAAGTTCTTGGTTATTCTTGAATGTTGTTGTGACGAATGTATCGTTTCGTCCAGTGTTTATAGAAGTGGTGATAGACAGAGATTGCTTCTACGTAAAAAAAAAGGGTTTGGTGTTGCTTATACTCTTTCAAAAAGTTGGGGGAGGTTTTAATGTATGATTATCTTTTTGCTTTTGAGTTTGCTTTGGTTGCCATTTTTAGTATTTTCGGGTTGTAGTAGAAAACGTGGCTTCGAGGATTAGATTCGTTAGATGCATAAATAGTGGAGTCGTTTTCTTGCTCCACTCCATTTGATCATAGGTCGTCGAATGATAGGGTAGTCCAAAATGTATTGACTATTGAGTGTGTGTGTGTGTGTGGGACACGCAAGGTTTGATTATTAGTTATGAGGAGCAAAAAACCGTGTGGTTTTGACCCGAAGATATGTACACCATCAGTTTTATTTCAAGTGTGTCGTTTTTATTTTTAAAGTGCGTCCTTGTGAAGTAAACTTTTTGTTATAAAATAAGTGTCATTTTAAAAATTTTAGTTCAAAAATTATTTGTATATTTGTATTCTCCAATTTGTTTTTGATTGACTGAAATATGATTAATTATATTTTTAATTATATTTTTATTTAAAAATATACATAAAATTAAATATTTTCTTAATTTATATAAAAAAATCTTAAAAGACACTTAAACTTAAATGAATGGGTTTATACATATTGTTTTTTGTGCAACATATAATGATTCTTTTTATTATCCTATATAAATAAAATTTACGGAAAATCTCTCAAACATAATTTTTAAGTTTTTATCACATAAATAGATCACAAAAACTAAAATGACCAAAATAATATTTTTCTTAAAAAAACTTTAATTTTTTTTTTCATTTTTTAAACTTTGAAATCCTACCCCCAAAACTCCACTCCTCAACTCTAAACAAAAAAAAATCTATGATTAATTAACCCAAAGTGTATAAATGTATAAGTGTATATTTACTAATTTTTGATAAAACATTTAAATCTATTTTGGTCAGATTTATTTTTAAGATCTATATTTGTGCCAAAAACTGTTTTAGGTATATTTTAAAGAATTTTTCTAAAATTTAAATAGAAACAATTTTATTTTAATATATATAATTATTTTAATATATAAATCATTGATATATATATTAGATCTTAACAGTGTTATTTGAGAAGTCACTTTTTACATGTCATAATCACGTTAGCTCTCACTTTAAATTACAATTTATGTTTATTGATCCAACTCCGATTTTATGTTTTTGTTTCCTTTCTCAAAAACAGCATACATATATCAAATTATACAAAACTGTACAAATATATATCTACAATTATAAAAGGATGAACTAAACTACATGAACTAAAAAACAATTGTAACGTAATTAAAAATTCATTGCTTATTTGAAAGCATATATGCAACAACATACCCAATAATCACTTAACTAATATAAAATAGTATATTGAAATCATAACTATGAAGAGAAAAAAAATGATACCTGGTAAAAATGTACTTCTCCAACATATAAATTACATAATGACTTCAACGTATAAATAAAAATCAAATATTTACTAATTAATCGAAGAGAGATTTTGTCAAAGATACACAACTGAGATTGTAGATTTGACTTTCAAAGCTTTAAGGACTTTACAATTGGAGATTTGACTTTCAAAGCTTTAAAGACTTCACAATGTTCTAAATTTTTTAAGTTCAGTAATATTATCAATTACACTTTACCTTTAGTAATATCTACTCTATTAAAATATAGTCTTTCTTTTTATCTACTAATACAAATTGTCATTTAAATTTGGACTCTTTCTAGAGTGTTACAACAAGCCATATAGTTAACTGAACCGCATTACTTAAATTAAACCGATGGTTATTTATGAGATATAATCTTGGGCTTACTTTTGTTTTTAGGACAAATTATATGTTTGATTTTTAGGCTTACTATTAAGGAAAAACTCCAAAAAACATTGAATAAAATTTCTATCTTAATATTTTTAACAAAACAAAATTGTCTATTATTAATCATTTATTTAAATCATATACTTTAAAAAATATTATTGTATTTTTTATTTTAAATAACAATCACTTTTTTTTATAAATTTCAATGGTAAATTTTAAATAATTTATTGTTTTATTATTCTTAAATAATTTACTGATTTAAAAAGTAAATAGATGTAAAGCAAAACCAAAAACCAATTCTAAAAACTAAAACCCAAAACCAAAAGTTCAAAACGCATTGTTCTGGATAACATATTGTTATAGTTTTTGCTTTTGCTTATTTACAAAATAAACTATTGCAAATTTTTTTTAAAATTTTTTTGTCATCTTTTCACTTTTAAATTAGATGTTCGATTATTTGAAATTTGTTTGTTGGTAATATTAGTTCAAACTAACTCAGCGGATCTAAAAATTAAAAACCCAAACAAAAGCTGAAAATCAAAAATAGAAACTTAAAAACTAAAAACTAAAATCTAAAAATAAAAACTGAAACTAAAAACTAATGAAAAAAATCATCACCACAAATTTTGATAAACTGATTTTATACCATAACATTCTTTAAATTAAGACATAACCCAGTTATATAAATTTTAGTTATAAAAAATTTCCGCGCTTTCAAGCGCGGGTCAAAATTTAGTTATCAATTACACTTTACCTTTTCTAAAATCTCTCAAAGTCTCTAAAAACGCATAAAGTCTCAACTTCTACTTTCCCTTCACTTTTTTTTTTTACTTTTTAAGGCTCTGATTGTTAATGACTTCATTTTAGGCTTTAAACTTAGAAATATGGAGGTAGAGGTTTTAGCTTTACAGACTTTGGCAATTACTTTTTATTTTTTTTTGACAACGAACGGCTGATCTATTACTCAAGCTTGAGGTGGTCTGAGAATCCAGACCGGAATAGAACAACCTACATACACCAAATCTCGATAGAAGGATCGAGCAGTCTTAGCTAGTGAATCGGAAAAACCATTATGTGTCCTAGGCACATAGAAAATTTTAAAATCTGGAAAGCAAATCCGCAAAGTCGTGAGCTTTTCCACTTCCGTTGAGAAGTTTGGCTAGTCCTGTGGGTTCCTTAGCATTGATATCATTTCCTTACAGTCCGTCCCAAAGCTCTGACATGGCGAATGTTGAAGCATGTTCTCCATTGCCCACCGCAGTGCTTCCAGCTCAGAATGCAAAGCAGACTCCACTCTTTCAAAGTTACGCATTCCCATCAGCTGACTATTCCCCATACTATTCTGCCATACCCATCCACATCCACTGAACTGAGTGTAGAGGTCCAGGAACCGTCCACCAGACAAATACTCCCTAGACTTATGATCTGACTGTCACCATTCGTGTCTATTTGAGAGGGCAAGGAAGGCTGCTCATTGGCTTGAAACCAGGCATGGCATTCACTCTCTACATAACGTGATGTCTCCATTGGGTCTCTATCAATCCCTTTGAACAATTTGTCATTCCGAGCCTTCCAAATATACCATATTAGCCATGGATAAGGATCCATGTCTACTGACGGTCCTATTATGGCATTCTTCCTCCAAAAAAGATAGTCCATGTTCACATATGTGCTCTGTAATGGGAATAGAGAAGGGCTAGTAGGTAATGACGATAAGGCCCAGACTTGCTTTGCAGGAAGGCACAGGAAGATGGCGTGTGTGATTGATTCATCCGGTTCTCCACACTGTGGACAGTAATTGTCACACCTTATGTGTCTATAGTTTAAGATGCTCGTAACAGCCACATGACTTGTTATTATCTGCCACATAAGATGGCACATCTTTTGTGGAGGCCGCACCTTCCAAACTTGCGCTTGTAGTTTAGTAATACTAGGTTCACTAACTACAGGCATTTCTTCCCGTTTTAAAATATTCCGTGCCATCCAATATCCAGACTTGACTGTATATTGTCCATTCCTTGTATAACTTCAGCAGTATGTATCTCTACGATGTGTCGAACTAATGGACATACTCTTTATGAGAGGTATATCGACAGCATTGACGTATTGTTCCAGTCTTGTCGCGTCCCAGGTCTTTGTCTCTTGATTAATAAGATCACTTACTCTCATGTTTGGGTGCAAAACCGGTACAGATGGGGACGCCGGTCTCGCTAGTATAGTAGGAATCCAAGGGTCCTCCCATACTTTCACCTCATATCCCGAATGGATCTTCTGTCTTATACCCAATAACAATAATTCTCGTGATGCCGAAATACTTGTCCACACATATGATGGGTTACTAGTAGAAAGCTTACACAATGGCGAGCTTGATCGATAATATCGACCCCTCATTACACGAGCAACCAGAGAATCTGGATATTGGCTCAGTCTCCATAATTGTTTTGCTAGCAATGCCAAGTTAAATTCATGGATCAACCTGAAACCGATCCCACCTTCCTCCAAAGTGGACCAATGGATACCCCTTTTTGGGGATTAGAACTCCACCAGAATTGTGCAATGGCACTAGCTAAGGCATCACATATTTCCAAGGGCAAGAGAAAACAGGACATGACATAAGTTGGCAGTGCTAATAGGATCGACTTGATCATAACCTCCTTTCCACCTTTTGATAGCCACCTTCCTATCCACCCATTAACCCTGTTCCTTAGCTTATCCTTTATAAACGCAAAGAGCTTACATTTAGACCCACTGATATCCTCCGGAATTCCTAGATATGTTCCCATTCCTCATTCATTCTGAATTCCAAGTGTATCTGTAATTTCTTGTCTAACCTCATGTCCAATCCTCTTACCGAAGAGTATGGAAGATTTGTCAAAGTTAATGCATTGACCAGAGGCTTGTCCATATTTCTTGACCACTTTCATTACTTCTTCACATTCACGGGGCTCCGCCTTACAAAAGAACAGGCTATCATCAGCAAAGAGAAGGTGAGATACCGAAGGACACGCACGCGTGATGCGCATCCCCGTTATCTTCCCTTGGTTCTCTGCGTGATTTAGAAGGCTAACGAGCGCTTCCGTGCACAGAATAAAAATGAAAGGGGACAGA